GCTTAAAATCTCCTTTGGATTTTCCAATTCTCACTGTCAGCCGCTACAAAAGAAGTAATTTGCAAGGCCACACATCAGTCTCTGACAGAGAGGCAGAGCGTTACCTCAGTGACATTACCATCACAGTGCATCATGGGTAATGGCGGAGCACGCACGCACACACACACACACACACTCATGCATTCATGGCTCTCCTTCACAGGCTGTGTGTGAGAGATTGATTTCCATTTGAATAAGATTTATGGGTCTGATATGTCAGCGGATTGTCAAAACATAATAACACCTCTGGTTGTCAGGCGCTGCAAACTTCCCTTTCTCCTCTCTTTCTAGCAGATTAAGTTCAGCTCTAAGGGCTTTATTGGTGCCGATAGGATGATATTGTCAAATCATAATGACATTCAGTGTGTAAATATCATCTCATAAGCAGCCAGCGCTCTCTCTTTCTGTGCGCTCAGTGCTGACGCAGATGAAGCTCAGATGGAGATATGGAGAGTGGAAAATACCCAAGAAATGCAGACAAGAACTGACGGAGAGAAAAATAAAGGATATTAAACACTTTACCAGAAATTACTATTATAATTGCTAAAAATAAATAAATAAATAAATAAGAGGATCAAAGCAGCAGAATACTGAACATGGGATTTAAATATAAAGACCACAAAAACAATTGCTGTTCATTATATTAAATATATTCTGTAGATGTATGAACACTAATCTGTTAATTAAGTCAGTGTTTTAAAAACACCACAAAAAATATTGTTTCTTATTACACTTTTTTTATAATATGCATTTATTTCTTGTGCTCTAAAATAATTGCATGATTATTTGCATCTTTTTGATCCCATTTAAAAAATTAAATTTTAAAATCGATTTATTATTGATTAAATTCAGCTTAAGTCTATTTATAGTGAAAATAATCATTTATCCATTCATTTTATTTTATTCAGTCTGAATACAATAGAAAAAACTCAAATATTTATCAGTTTGTTTATATTAAAACAATATATGCACATTTTACCTGCAATTCAAATACATAAATCTTACATTTAGGCTGATAATTTTGGGGGGTAAACATTATTATTTTGTGAAAGCAGTTTCTAAGAATGTGCATTGGAAAAGAAGGAAAATTAGTATTATTTTCTCACATGTATCCGCTGGCTAAAGCTCATGTAAGACTGCAGTCGACAGCGCCACCTGTGGGCAAACTAGGAGAAAACACTTTCTGAGGCCTGATGTGCCAATCTACAAACACACACGCGCACACACACACACGCACATGCACACGCACACACACGCACACACACGCGCACACACACACACGCACACACACACCACAAATAGGTGAAAATCCAGAGAAATGAAGGCAGCAGGAAACATCATGAAAGCATATGAGCTCATACATCCCAGAGCAAATTCCTGTCTGCTGTATCGAGTTACGCTCGTCTGTCCAAAGGTAAACATCTGGAAACTTCTCGTATTGTGTTTTAGATGCTCCTTATGTATTTCCAGATCCTCTCAGCAATAACACACAACACACACACACACACACACAGAGTTCCAGTGCTGAGCAGGCGGGCTTTAGACATAATTAGGATTAAACAGAGAGCTGGAAAACACAGACATAACTGTGGCTGCAGATCAGCACACCACACCCAAACACACACACACACACACACACACACACACACACACAGAGACCCAAATAAAGAACACACACACACCTAAATAAAGAATGAACAAATGCAAAAACAAAAAATAAAGAAACACACACACACACACGGACACACACTTAAATAAAACACACACACACACACACACACTTAAATAAAACACACACACCCACACACACTTAAATAAAAACTCACAAACAGCTAAACACACACACACAAACCTAAATAAACACACACACCTAAATAAAACTCAAAAACAGCTAAACACACACACACCTAAATAAAAAACGAACAAAAACAAACACTTAAAACACACACACACAAGCACACACAGACCTACATAAAAACTAACAAACAGCTAAATAAAGAACACACACACCTAAACAAAACACAAACACACACAAAACCCCACATGAAAAAACACACACACGCACGCACTTAAATACAAAAATCAAAAGATTCTACACAACACATTCTGTATTTCTACACTTTTAAATAAATGTTCATATGCATGGTAGCACACAAACACACACTCACACAAGCAAAAACATACACAAATGCACGTACAAACATACACACAAACACATGCAAGCAAATGCATGCAAACACACATGTAGATACACAAATGCAATCAAACACACAAACAGACACACACGTGTGCAAACACACACATGAAGATACACAAGCACATGCAAACATATGCAATCAAACACACAAAAGAGAAATACATGCAAACACACACACACACACAATCAAACACACACACACACACAAGCCCATACAGGCTAACTGTGCAGCAACATCAGAGTCAGAGGGGAAGCCCACATTTCTGCCTTCTTGGCTCTTTTCCCTCAAAGTTTGCAGTTCTGTCAGGAATAATCTCACAGTTCACAGATCAGTTTATAACAGAAACACCCCGTCTTCACCATGTTATACACTAGAGGGACAGTTTTAAGGTTTTACCAGCAGAGGTGGCTATTATGAACCAATCAGAGAGCTGATTATAAATTCAATCTTCATTTATTCATGCAAGAATCCCTTCATGCCGTCTGCAAATCTGCTATAAAGACCCTGATGGAGTGCTAATGGGAAGGATCAAATCTTCTTTTCACGCAGAGCATCTATGAAACCAGATTTAACACACACACACACACGTCTGACACATTTCAGATCATGTCAATGTCATGCACGATTATAGATGTCTGTAACCTGATGAACTTGCTCCACTGAAGTGCTTTTTTAATTTTTTTATTTCTCAGTTATCTTTTACACACATCACAATTAGTATTAGCCACAGCCATATCTCCCACTGAAGCTGAGCAGGGCCGAGTCTGATCAGTGTCTGGATGGGGGACCACATGGGAACACTAGGTTGCTGTTGGCAGTGGTGTTAGTGAGGCCAGCAGGGGGCGCTCAAACTGCAGTCTGTGTGAGTCCTAATGCCCCAGTATAGTACTATACTGTCAGAAACGCAGTCTTTCAGATGAGATGTTAAACCGAGCTCCTGACTCTCTGTGCTCATTAATAACCCCATGGCACTTCTCATAAAGAGTAGGGGTGTAACCCCGGTGTCCTGACCAAACTCCCTCCATCAGCATGTAAAGTCACATGACTGCACTCAGTTACGTTATTCCGAAAAAAATGTCTAGCATGGACAACCTAAACACTGAGAAAACAGAGCAACAAGTGCAGCTTGTGACAAAAAAATGCATATTTAACTGCACGAAAAATAAATAAATAAAATCATTGTTCATTAATCACAATTAAATTAAAACGTTAAATTAATCTAGATTTTGATTTTGGGCCAAATTGCCAGTCCTAATGCAAATTCCACACAGAAGAGCCAACTGGCCCAGCAGGGACTAAAACCATCGACCTTCTTGCTGTGAGGTAACAGTGCGACAAAACTGAGACGCAGTGTCACCCTCTACATTTTCATTAGCAATTAAAATGTAAGAATTATTAATTATTAATTAAAATTATTGTTTTTTAAAGGCTCTTTAAAATATTAAGGCTGCATTTATTAGATCAAACATATTGTAAAAACAGTAATAATTTTACCAGGGTTTCTGCAGATTTCACCAAGTTAAATTTAAGACTTTAAAGACGTTTTTAAGACCATTGTGAATACAATTTAAGGATTTGTTTTCCAATAGCCCAGTTACAAAAGATTTCCACTCACCTTAACAAATAATGATTAAAAATTAACACATTTAATAATACAATAAAAATAACAATAATTTAATTTGAATATTTATTATTACTTTTCAATTATATCCATTCACAAACCCAATAACCCTTACCAAGAATAAAACAAAACTTAGCTGTCAATTACTTCAGTCTACAATAATAATTTAATAATGACAATTTTGGGTCAGGACAAAATCCTCAGCAGTAAATACATTAGGAACTTTTAAGCAAATGTCACTGTAAGGAAAGTAATTAAATGCTATTTTTAAATACAAAGTGTTGAGTTTTATTGAGATTAATTGTTGGTGACTGTATGGGTGTTAATGTCCAGATTGGGTAGCTATACATGAACAAATGAAAATTAAGACCTGTTTAAAAAAGATTTAAGACCTATAACATGACATTTTAGTATATTTAAGACTTTTCAAGGCCTAAAATTTAGCTTTTGATATTTAAGACATTTTAACACATTTTAAGACCCCACGGACACCCTGTTTATTATATATATATATATATATATATATATATATATATATATATATATATATATATATATATATATATATATACATTCTTTTCAAAGGGAATAAATATACTGTAAAATATTATTTATTCCACCAACCAGCTACACTCAAGAATGCATGATTATATGCGGTCATGGCTTTGCAGTCAATGTGATTATTATGGAAGTCAATGGGGCAGAAACAGTTCCCAATGTAACCAAAGGGAGGTCAATTTTCCCAGAGTGCATTGTTGAGTTTTTAAACATTTTCCCAAAATATAAGTCAAAATAAGATTAAAATTATAACATTTGTTATAACACAAACAAATTTGTGACTAAATCAAGACTCAAAATCAGCCCAGAGTGGATGAAAATGACCCAACAGCACACATAAGGCCTAAACTTAAAAGCTAAACTTTTGAAATTGAGTGCAGAAAAAATAAATACAGCAGGACATGTATAAAGTCATGCACGGGCCTGAGCAGAGATGCAGTGTGCTGGTTAACGTGTGTGTGTGTGTGTGTGTGTGTGTGTGTGTGTGTGTGTGTGTGTGTGTGTGTGTGTGTGTGTTGTGGCATTGAGGTGTTCAGGTTGTGATGTGTGTGTAATCGGCGTGTGGAGAAATGAACATCACCCACCGTGAGACTGAAGCACCAGCAGAGAAAACAGCAGGAGGGCCAACATGACGACGCAGACGTGAGAGTGTGTGTGTGTGTGAGACAGCAGGGCAGATCCTTCAATCACGACACTGCAGGAAAAACACAGACAGAGAGAGAGAGACTGATTAACCTGGAGCTCAGTGACTGATGGAGTGGAAGACTGGAAATCTGTGTGTGTGTGTGTGTGTGTGTGTGTGTGTGTGTGTGTGTGTGTGTGTGTGTGTGTGTGTGTGTGTGTGTATGTGAGTAAAAGAGTTTTTGAGAGTGTGTGTGTGTGTGTGTGTGTGTGTGTGTGTGTGTGTCTCATTCTGCTTTATTCTGAACACTAGAAGCACTTATTTCCTGTGGCATCAGAAAGGATGTGTGGTCATATTATTGCTGACCGAGGCGTTTCTATATCTAATTTTACATTCAGGTGCTTCCTGTTAAGTCTGGTCCCAATATTTCCATCTCTTTGTCATTTCCTCTTACTCTCCTTCCCTTAAATTGGGAAAGAAGACAAAACCTCTTAAAGCCAGGTTAAATGGTTTGTTTTCTTTCCTGTGCTGACAGATTCCCTAAAGACCCAACATATCTGGGTGGACCTTACGCTGATAGTCATACAAGAAACATCTGTATAGTTCATAATATTGGAATCCATATGATTTTGCACAACTTTTATCTTCAAGGATTCATTCATTTGATTGAAAGTGACATGCATAATGTTACAGTATATTTATATATATATAGAATATTCATATCCATGCGTGTTCAGCAAAAAAGTCAGGAGAGAATTTTGTTTAATCCAAAACTATTAGTCATTTACTAGACACACATGAATGATTCGTTTCAGAGCTCTGGGTCACGTTACACCACTGCAATACAATAAGCAGCAAGAAACTTCTACTTTTGCTAAATAAATAAATAATTAATTAATTAATTATATATATATATATATATATATATATATATATATATATATATATATATATATATATATATATATATATATATATATATATATATATATATGGTTGAAGGCAGAATTATTAACCCTCTGTGATTTTTTTTTTCTTTTTTAAATATTTCCTAAATGATGTTGAACAGAGCAAGGAAATTGTCACACTATAGTCAGATAATATTATTTTCTTCTCATTTTTTAAAATAAACATTTTAAGGTCAATATTATTTGCCCCTTTAAGCTATATTTTTACAACAGTCTACAAAACAAACCATCATTGTGCAATAACTTGCATAATTATCCTAACCATATATATATTTTAACATATATACAGTGCACAGCACAAATAAGTTGAGTTTGGAAATTTCTATTTTTATCCATTTTTCAGATAATATTTGCACTGTGATCTCAAGTAATTTTCTTGGATTAGTTCCAGTTTGGGCTTTGATACTGACTAATCGTAAACCATCCTGTAAAAAAAATTAATTTAAAAGAGATCTTTAGGCGGTTTATCCTGGGCACTGTATTAAAAAAACTAAATTCACTTTAAATTATAACACATTTTATTGTATTTTTGACCAAAAAAAATCAGCCTAAGAGAATAAAAAAGGATAAATCTCTCTGACCCCCACCACTTTTATGTATGAAAATACACAATTACATTTATTAGTATGAAAAGGCGACAAAACATTAAAGTAAAGCTAGAAATACACAAAAGCCCAATATGATTTATCTTTCACACACTGATGGACACAAACAGCTGCCTGGACACAGTCTGATCTCCTCTGAGCAGTTCTGAACAAACACTGAAACAAAAACACTTGAACAAATTACTTAAAGTAATAACATTTTAGATACTTTTTTTAATGTAATGCAAGTTACCATTTAGTTTAATTAATTAGCTTAAAAAAACACATTTCTGCATTTAAAATTGATGCATGATGAGTAATGAGGGAATACAGGAACAGACAGAAAGCAAGATGGCAATGCTGGAGGTATTGTCATTATTCTGAACATATGAAGAAAGGAAGGAAAGGGGGATTATAGTCTCAATGCACACTAGGGTTGTAACGGTATGAATTTTTCACGGTATGATAATCGTCTAAAACAATACCACGGTTTGACGGTTTCGCGGTATACGGTATGTTACAAATGTTACAAAATAATAGAACAGTGAAGCAAATTTGACTTTTTCCAAATAATATATTTTTAGTTACTATAAACAACACCACTTACAATGAACAAATAAAAATAAGAAAATAATAAATAATGTGTCAAAGTCCAAATAAAGTCCAAATAAACATGGTGCAAATCCTCAGTAAAAATAGATATAAATATTTACTATACTAAATAGTTACATAACGAAACTAGATTCAATATGGAACATCCTTAGGTTTTATGTGCCAGCATGGATATGGTTGTCTATTGATATGGATTTGGATATGGTTGTCTGCAATGCAGACAAACAGCTGCATCTTTATTTGCGTCTTTTGAAAACAGCAAGAGCAGCAGTTCGTCTTTGCTGTGTCACTGTTTTGTCCTGTTTCTGTGCTGCTGTGCATGCAAAAGTACTTAGTATGAGAATTATTTCATGCAAAACTTTTTTTTTTTGCGTTTTATTTAGCCGCGCATAAATGTATGCCTATCTCTCATTCCGTGTTGTTCAAAAAGCTTGGTCCACAAACAAAAGCGAAACCTATGCTTATTGGTTGTGATATAGCGAGTTTGAACCAATCTGGGCATGGAGGAGGGACAATGCATCAATGTATCATGTCTGATTTGTCCGGAGACACAGTGACGAGCGTTTCTTTGTCAAATCAGCGTTGTCAAATGTTGATGACGTAACCACACTGATTCCGGAGACTCCGAAAGTCCGCGAATGTTATGTGATACAGCACTGGAAAGCTGAGATTCTCTTCTTTATGCCAATCTTTGAATTGTATGAATCGGATCAGCGGATCAAAAGTTATTAAACATTTAAGAGCAATACTTATTTTTAGCCGCGGGCGGCTGTCTCGATCTTTAAGGGTTAAAACCGTTGATACGCAATTGTTCATGGTATGATAATCGTGCACGTTCAAATCGTGGTAAACCGTCATACCGGTATATTGTTACAACCCTAATGCACACTAATGTTACTGTACTAACAACACTAAAAGCACAACAGCAGCAAATACACTGCTTAAAACAGTCATTAATCTGTATATACGGCACGTACGGCTCTGGCTCAGGAGTTCTCAGAAGAGAAGTTCTTTCCCCAACACTGTGTGTGACAATGTGTACTAGTGAGTGTGTATATGTGAAAGTGTGCACTAGTGAGTGTGTATGTGACAGTGTGCACCATTGAGTGTGTGTAAGTGACAGTGTGCACTAGTGAGTGTGTATATGTGACAGTGTGTACTAGTGAGTGTGTGTATGTGACAGTGTGCACTATTGAGTGTGTATATGTGACAGTGTGCACTATTGAGTGTGTGTAAGTGACAGTGTGCACTAGTGAGTGTGTGTATGTGACTGTGTGAGCCGGTCATGACTGGACTCTTTCCAGTAGGTCAGTGTAATGTGAGTAATATGAGAGTGTGTGTCGTCAGAATCAAACTTCCTCAGTGACTAAACTCTGCGTTCAGCACAACATGTGGTCAGAAAACAGCAGATCAGCACTATTTACTTCTGGGGAAAACATCAAACCCTCGTCTCTTCCATTAAAGCACACAATGACTAATCTGGACTCTTTATACTTTATCAACTTTTAACAAATACTCTGAGGCACTTTTTCCTCATTCCTTCCTTCTGGATTCTCAGAATCGCTCAGACTGTTTTTGCTGGACTGGACCACTTTGTCTGTGATTTTCAGGACAGTTTTGCTGCTGTTTATAACTAGGTATGGGATGATAACCGTGTTCCAGGTATACCGGGGTTTGGAAAATTCACGGTTTTAAAAGCATCAAAGTTTTCTGCTATACCGCTTCTAAGGTATGAGTAAGATTTTTTTATTTACATTTTTTTTTTAGTACAACAGTATTTCCAGCAGAAAAGATATCTAAAAATGCCATTTTAAAATGTAAAAAATCTGTGTTTTTGAAACAAATGAAGACAGCAGAAGTCAATAATTCATTTTAATTATTCAGTCTGACATGTTTACCATCTTAAATGTTTCCCAAATTAAAATATATTGCGTTTAAAAGGGGAAAAAAGTTGTTGTGTTTTACCCAGACATTTAAAAAGAAAATATTTTAGAGCAGTAATCACAATATCATGATACCATGAAATATACATCCAAGGTTATCATACCATCACAATCTTATACCAGCCCATGCCTTTTTATAACCAGACAAAATGACATCGGTATCATTAATTCGCTCATTAATTGTCATCTGAAGCCTTTATTCTTTACACTTATAGAATGACATTTGCTGTTTGTTTAATCTAATTATTTAAATTGAGCTGAAAACAAAGAGTTTTTTGAGGGGACAGCTAAATTGTTTTATGGTCATTCATTCATTCATTTTTCCTTCGGCTTAGTCCCTGATTTATCTGAGGTCGCCACAGCGGAACGAGACACCAATATTCCAGCATATGTTGTATACAGCTGCAACCCAGTACTGGCAAACACCCATACACACTCATACACTACGGCCAGTTAAATACATCAGTTCCTCTATAGCGCATGTGTTTGGACTGTGGGGGAAAACGGAGCACCCGGAGGAAACCCACGCCAACACGGGGAGAACATGCAAACTCCACACAGAAACACCAACTGACCCAGCCGGGACTCGAACCAGCGACCTTCTTGCTGTGAGGCCACAGTGCTAACCACTGAGCCACCATGCCCCCCGTGTTTAATGTTTATTCCACTTCAGTTTTCAAAAACTTCTACGTTAAATCAATTCCTTTACATTGTCCCAACACAAATCGATTGTGTGAAGCCCAGCCTTTTTACGGTGCACCCCTCTCCTTTAAACCAATAGAATTCCCCGATCTGGCAATAAGAAGTTTATATTAAATTTCAAATGGCTCCGAAATAGTGTTGTATTTTTATATAAATATATTTGCTTCGCTGAGTGATGACAGAACAATCTGAACCACATTTTTACATTTAAAACATTAAAATAGCCATTGAACATAGATTTAATTTAATATAGCATTGAAAACACTTGACTCATTTGACCAAATTAAACTTTAACGAGCTCATTTGCTCGAGTTGAAAGTTTAAACTTTTAATTTTACAGCGTATTTTTTGTGCTGCTCTCAGGTTCAGAGTCTCTGATGTTTAAGAGTTTGTCTAGACCGGCAATAAATCTCTGATGTTTTACAGATGGAGTGTAATATAGCAGCACTTCAGAGCTGGACATGAGACGCTGAATCAGCTGTAAATCTCATCATAAACAAATAACATGAAAAAAGGCATGATGACAACAATTGTTTTTTATGTTATTTAACTTATTTTAAATGATGTTTCAGTTACATTTTTTAACTTGATAAAAAGATTAAGTTTACATTTGTCATGATAACAAATGTGTTTGTTACTTCAACTTAGTTTTAGTTATGTTAATCAGGTTTCAACTACATTTTTTTAAAGCTATACACAGTTTCAATTAATAATCTTTTAAATTCTTAGTTAAAATGTAACTACTATGAACTTTAAACTATAAACTCTAACTGTTATTAGATTTCAATTTTAAATATTATTAATAGTTAATATTATAAGGTATTTATTTATTTATTTATTTATTTCCTTTATTTAGCCAGGAGATCCCATTGAGACAGTACTGTCTCTTCTTCCAGTGAGACCTGGTATTAAAAAAGGAATATCTTTAACACAACTATCCCCTTTAATATAACTTTATTACAACAAATTTACAGCAGGGCAGCACAATAGCACAGTAGCTAGTCGAAAGAAAAGAAAGAAAGAAGGTTGCTGATTCGAGCCCCAGCTTGGTCAGTTGGTGTTTCTGTATGGAGTTTGCATGTTCTCTCTGTGTTTGCATGGGTTTCCTCCAGGTCCAAGTCCAAACACATGTAGTACAGGTGAATTGGATAAGCTAAAATTGTCTAGAGTGTGTGTGGATGAGTGTGTATGGATGTTTCCCAGTACTGGGTTGCAGGTGGAAGGGCATCCACTGTGTAAAACACATGCTGGATAAGCTGGCAGTTCATTCCAGGGTTGAAGACCCCAGATTAATAAAGATACTTAGCCAAAAGAAAATGAATGAAAATAAAATAAAAGGATGACATGATAAAACAAGAAATTAGTAAGCCGAAAAGAAAATGAATGAATTTACAGCACTTCACATTGTCTTTACATCTAAAAAAATTTTTTATTTGCAAACACATCTAATGTGTTTTGTAAAAGAAAAATGTCTTAAATAACAACATCATCAGATTTTCAAAATTGTTTTTTAGTTTTGAACTCTGTTTTGTCCCGCTTCTCAAAAATTGAGGTGAAGTTTGTTTATGTTTGCATACTCAGACTTTCTCCTTAATAGTATGATTTCAGTATTATTTGCAATTTCGGGAAATCATCTACTGAGGTAAAGTTGGTTTCATATTTGCACATTGGGACTTCTACTTAAATAATATAATTTCAGAATATTCTTTGCCAATTCTAAAGATGAAAATCCTGTTAGCTGTCAATTTCTATCAAAACACAACATTGTTCACAGTCAATTAAAAGGTCATGAAACCCTTAAACACATTTTTTGAGATGCTGAAATACATATATGTCGCTAAAAACACTATTAGGACACTAACATCTCGCTATGGAGTGAAAAATTGTATGTATATGTATTTGTGGCGGTAGTAATCAATAGGAACCACGTCACAAGTTGTCACTGAACGAATGTGCGAATATAAAACCAACTTTAACGTTACCTCAATTTAAGAGCGCAGTCTCCGAGTGTCCGGCGGGTGTGGCGCTCCAGTCCAGACAAAAGAGTACAGGGTTCGGCTGGAGGAGGAGAATAAAAACCCCTGATAATCTGACACCCGGGTTAGTAAAATTGAGCTTTAGAGAAACAGCTCGTCTATCCAGCAACCATAAAACACAAGTCAAATAAAACCTAAACAGTTAAAAAGCAGCGTTGTTTCACTATGAGAGGAACTTTGAATCTCCGGTTCACTCATCCCGATCGACACCGGTTCATTGATTCGCTTTCTCCGCGCAGTTTATTCTAACATTGCTCTTTGACGATATAAACTGAAATAAGTGGCGCTTAGTGTGAGGCGGTTATTGAGGAGTTTAAACGAGTGACGGTTATTTGTGGCAGTTATTGGGAGTTTAAATGTGTGGCGGTTACTGAGGAGTTTAAATGCGTGTCGGTTATTGAGAAGTTAAAATTTGTGGCAGTTAATAATGAGTTTGAATGTGTGGCGGTTATTGCAGTTTTTTTACTCACCGCGGCTTCTCTGTATCAGCAGACCGGGGAAAAGGCACTCTCTGCGGGCTCCGGCATTCCCGATCAGGCCCTCAGCTCCGGTGAACTCTCTGGAAGCTCATGTTTATCCGCAGAAATGATGATGATGAGGGAAACAGCGGCTGCTCGAGTCCAGCTGGTTCAATTTTTTCCTCCGGTCGGACTCGGAAAGTGAATAATAAACCACTCCTATACCATTCCTGCGCTCGGTCCAGCCTGGTGACGTCAGCACTTCTGGAGCAGCTCAGCCAATCACGGCCGCTCTCTATATTTTAACAATAACGGTAATTAAAAGAAAGAAAGAAAGAAAGAAAGAAAGAAAGAAAGAAAGAAAGAAAGAAAGAAAGAAAGAAAGAAAAAACATGGTCTATCTCCGTATTTTACAAAAGCAAAAAAAGTTAATAGAACCTATAAAATATTTTGTTATATATTATAATATAGTAAACTAACTTTTACATTATATTATATTATATTATATTATATTATATTATATTATATTATATTATATTATATTATATTACATTCCCAGAGATGGGTTGCGGCTGGAAGGGCATCCGCTGCGTAAAACCAATTCTCAATAAGTTGGCGGTTCATTCCGCTGTAGCGACCCCAGATTAATAAAGGGACTAAGCCAACAAGAAAATGAATGAATGAACCAATATATTATATTATATTATATAACATATTTGGCCTGTTTTAAAATATGTCATGTAATAACAACAATAATATAATAATAATAAAAGTATAATGTAATTATTGTTATTGAAGTGAAATAATAAAATAATGTAAATAAATTAGTTAATGTAATTAAGAGGAAAGGCTCCAGGGTATCTTGTTACCACCAGAGGTTCCAAAGAGTTCCAAACTTTACAAAGAAATCACCATGAGGGGGGCAAATGTCCTTTTAGGGTTTGCTTTGGTTTTTATCACTATAATACTACTTCTTGATTCACATTTCATTTCAATAAAACATTTAGAAATTACTGATTTTAAAACAGGTTTCAATGGAAAAAGTGTTCTCCCTGCAGTGCCCCTGAAGCCCACTTGGGGTCGCAGAGCCGTAAAACTATTTCTGATTTTTTAAATGACAAACATATAAAATATAAATTATGCCATACCATTTTTATTTTATGCTTATGCACATCATTTACAGATGCAAAATGAGACATAATGCGCGCGTCTGTGTCTTTAAGACATGTTTGCAAGACTTTTATTTTGTCGGTCGGAGGAAACTGTGCGTGGCGTCACATCCTTCCATCAGCTGTTGACAAAACGCTGCCTCACCGACTGCTGGATGAACAAATCGGGATAAACCGGTAATATTTTGGTCTTTTTGATTATTATTTAATCCTCACCGTGATCAGGTGTTCAGATGTTGTGTCTGAGATCGATAGCTAATCGATGTTAATAAGATAATCTATCATTTGTGCTTTAAACTGCCTGTAAAACTGAAAGTGAGAGCAGGAACTGATACCAAAACAACACTGAGCCAGGTTTTTACTAACAGTAATAATGATATCAATGATGATGATAATGCCATACTTTCCCATTTGACTGATCACAGTTCACCAGAACAGGTTGTTTGTATTTATTAGGTTTGCTTAATTGTGCAAAGGCGTCATTAGCAGATTAAACAGGTTTACGTTCGTGTGTTTCATTTGTTTACATTATATGTGTTTTATATGTGCTGTGTATATTTATTATATACAGTTTAGTGCTTTCAAAACATTAATCCCATCCAAGATAATGTAGATAAAATACAAATGCGTATTTGGAAATAATTTGTATGTGTATTATATATAAACAAACAAATATATGAACTTTTATTTTGGATCCAATTAATTACGGTTAATCTTTTGACAGCATTAGTGAATCAATTGTTTATTATTTATTAATTATTAATTATTTTATGTGGACTTTAAATATTAGTATAATAGTGATAATAATGAAAATAAATACACACTCCCAGGGCTGTTTATGGAAGTTGACATTTAGCTGCACCATGTTGGTGTTTCGTAACATCTATTTTACGATGTGGGTCGTTATCCCAACACTCAACCCCCAACCTGGAGGACCAGGACATACACAAATACACCTTACAGACCATTTAGTTGATCAATTCCCGTATAGCGCATGTGTTTGGACTGTGGGAGAAACTGGATCATCCGCAGGAAACCCACACCGACACGGGGAGAACATGCAAACTCCACACAGAAACACCAACTGACCTAGCTGAGACTCAAACCACCGACCTTCTTGCTGTAAGACAATTGTGCTACCCACTGCACCACCGTGCCACCCCTAATAATCAAAATACGACTTTAAAATAGCCCTAAATGTCTGAATCACAGAGTGCATAAAGAAATTCTCCTCGTATATGATTTTACACGAATAACCATCTGTGTGTTGTTGTTTGTTCTGCAGAATATGGCGAGTTCAGCTTGGCATCTCTCTCTGAAAGTCAGCGACAAACCCAAAGCACTGTTCCAGTTTCCAGATCCTGAACCTGGAGATGTTCATCCAGGAGGATATCAGGTGTCCACGCTCAAGCAGCTGATCTCAGTGCAGTTATCAGACTCTCTGCCCGACCCCGATCTCATCGGTCAGTTCTGCTGCAGAAGATATTATAGACCATAATATGACACTTTTTATTTTGTCCATAAGACATACAGTGCTTACTCATATTTTAATCTAACTCTCAGTGAATATAGACTATATTACTGTGCAATTAAACAGTTTTATGAAGCGGTTATATTCATTAAAATAAGAGTTTGGGCATCGAATATCTTCAGGAATATACAGATAACACATTTAAATTCAATTATTACCGCTTCACAGCAAGAAGGTCGCTGGTTCGATTAGCAGTTCATTCCACTGTGGCGACCCCTGATTATTAAAGGGACTAAGCCGAAAAGAAAATGAATAAATGAGTTTTTGTGAAACATCTCAACATTTATTTATTTATTCATTTATTTATTTATTTATTCATTTATTTATTTATTCATTATTTTTTATTCATTTATTTATTCATTTATTTATTCATTCATTTATTTATTTTATTAATTCATTTATTTTTTCATTCATTAATTTATTAATTTATTTATTCGATCATTTATTTATTCATTCATTTATTTATTTTATTCATTAATTTATTTATTCATTCATTTATTTATTTATTTATTTAATTAATTATTTATTCATTTATTTATTCATTTATTTATTTATTTATTCATTTATTTAGTTATTCATTCATTTATTTATTCATTCATTCATTTATTAATTTATTTATTCATTCATTTATTTATTCATTTATTTTTTATTCATTTATTTATTTATTCATTCATTCATTCATTTATTCATGTATTTATTTATTCATTTATTTTTTTTATTCATGTATTTATTTATTCATTTATTTATTTATTCATTTATTTATTTATTTATTTATTCATTCATTTATTTTATTCATTTATTTATTTATTCATTCATTTATTTATTCATTCATTCATTTATTCATTCATTTATTTATTTATTCATTTATTTATTCATTTATTTATTCATTCATTTATTTATTCATTCATTTATTCATTCATTTATTTATTTATTTATTTATTTATTTATTTATTTATTTATTCAATTATTTATTTATTTATTTATTTATTTATTTGTTTGTTTGTTTATTCATTCATTTATTATTACATGTTTATTTAAAATTATCAGGGTGAATGTACAATGTTCTTCCAGAAATATAATCAAAGGCAAGTTTTACAAAGAATGTGTCATGAGTTATGAGCAAAATAATAATAAAAAAAATATATTATTATAGATAGATAGATGGATGTATGGATAGATAGTTGGCGGTTCATTCCGCTGTGGCGACCCCTGATTAATAAAGGGACTAAGCCGAAAAGAAAATGAATGAATGAATAAAAACATCCTGTAGAAAATATTAATGTAAAAGACAGATTTTTGAGGGGTGTACTCAGTTATGCTCAGCATTGTACACTTTAAGATATAATCATTAGATATTTTGGTCGCATTTTATTTGAATGTACAATTCTTACAATTAACAAACCATTATTATCTGATTTTTAGCTCAATAATATACTAATTGGCAGCTTTATTAATAGTTAATAAGGTATTAGTTGGGTTTAGGTATTAGGGTTTTTAAATGTATTATTATTATTATTTAATTTCAGCCATACTTAACAAAATAAGACTTTCTCCAGAAGAAAAATATAATAGTAAATGCTGTGAAAAATGTCTTTGCTCTGTTAAGCATCACTTGGGAAATAATTAATAAATGTATAAATACATTTAAACTCTCCAACTGTATATCGTAATATGAGATCTGTGTCTTCATCTAACAGCATGCTCTTCTGCAGATTTTGTGCACTGCGGCTGTGTGCTGAAGGATGATCTCACACTAGATTCGTACGGCATCAAGTCTGGATCAACTCTGCATATCATCAAGAAGACGTGGCCGGAGCCGGAGATCCAGCCTGGTGTGTTTAGAGCTCATTTCTGATGAGACATTCCTGAATTATATTCTGTCTGTGATGTGTTTCTGCATCTTTTAGAGCCCGTCAACAGATCTGCAGCCGCCAGAGAGTTCAGGATGCTTCAGGCCGCGATGCTCTCCAATGCAACATACAGAGAAGCGGTACCAAAGACTCTAGATAAAATACAAGACACGTCACTCCTGTAGTTTTCAGTGGGCAAATGTGGTTGTTGCTAGAAGGGATACAGCTGTGGCCAGAGGTTAACAAGAATTAATTATGCAATTTATAAAATTATACATTATATGTATTTTATAAACATCTCCCCCTACCCAAACCCTCACAGTCATGTAAATACAGTAATTACGCAGAGTAATGTTCATATTATTTATTAAATGAACAATTAAATCATATTTTATGATCATTTACCGCTATCCCAACCCTCACAGTAATGTAAAAATATTAGTTATTGTTGTAGAGCGGTGCTCTCAAACCGGGTTCCTGCCTCAGTTCTGCACAGTTTTGCTCCAACCCTAATCAAACACAGCCAATCCAACTAATCAAGGTATCAACTACTAGAGACTCTTAAGCTGGTGTGAGTTGGAGGTGGTTGGAGATAAACTATGCAGTTCCTGTGGGTTTTCCTCCGGTTTCCCCTACAGTCCAAAAGACATGCAGTACAGGTGAATTGGTTAGGCTAAATTGTCCATAGTGTATGAGTGTGTGTGTGAATGTGCTATAAGCTGATATAAGCTTTACATGCTATATATATATATATATAACTGATATAAGCATGTAAAGCTTGCAGTTTGTCTCTTCCGCCTAAATGGATCTTCAGTTTCTTATTAAACCTTCTGACCAATCAAATGCTCTCTAGTCTCTGACTTGCCCCGCCCCCTTCTTCTCATTGGCTTTTCATTTAAAGCGCTTGATCTCATCTACTCTCCCTGGCAGAGCTGTGATAAAACAACACCATTGGGGGTTTTTTTTAAAGAGGGGAGGAGCTACTCTATGCCCCGCCCTCTCTTCATGTTTCAGTCTAGGTTACATCAAACATGGAATTAATTAAATGCACAGTTCAAAGCACTTTGCTGGAGCTTTACTGAAGCAGTTCAGCACTCTCTCATTGATCTTCAGGTGTTTAAGATGCTGGCCAATAAAGAGTCGCTGGACCAGATCATCGTGGCATCTCCAGGCCTCAGCTCAGACCCGGTCGCATTAGGTACATTTACTTACAAACTCCTCCCTCCCTCCCTCCCTCCCTCACTCACTCACTCACTCACTCACGCATGATGGATTTATATAGAGAAATGTCTGATGAGCTGATGTGTTTTACAGCTGTGCTTCAGGATAAGGATCTGTTCGTTCAGTTCACAGACCCAAACCTGCTGGACACGTGAGTATCTCTGAACACTATTAATCTCTGGACATATTTACACCTGGTATTACGATGCTTTTAGGTAATTTGATCACAAATGGACAAAAGAGACACATTACCATTCACACATTGCATTTAAACACGTCTCATTTGTCCACTTTAATCAATTCTCTGAGTATAAAGGGTGGTATTGGCTTTCTCTAATACCACTCTCTCCTCTCCGTATGCACCACACACTGTCCACTTGTGATTGGATTGAAGAAACTGCATCGTAACAGCAGGTGTGATTAATCAGTGATCGTGGTCTGTTTTCTCGGTCAGGTTGATCAGGTCTCACCCGTCGCTGGTTAATGCCATTATATTAATCCTGCACTCAGTGACCAGCAGCTCCGGTCAGTCCAGCAGCGGCTCCTCACGCAGCACAGCGGCCAGTTCATACAGCCAGATGCCCGGTAAACACTGACAAACATGCAGAAAACACAGAGTATGATCATAATTACAGTGTCTGAACATTCGTGTGTGTTGACAGGAGGATTTCTGTTTGATGGCATGTCAGACGATGAAGACGATTTTCAGTCGGTATGATCTACTATTTTTATTAATATTGTCATTACTAATACTGTTTATAATATTAGTAATATTACTATTACTACTACTATTATTATTATTATTATTAGTAGTAGTAGTAGTAGTAGTATTATTATTATTACTATTATTATTAAAATTATTATTAAAATTATTATTATTAGTAGTAGTAGTATTATTACTATTATTATTTTTACTATTACTATTATTACTATTATTATTGTTACTATGATTACTAGAATTACTATTATTATTATTACTATTATTATTGAAATTATTATTATTATTATTACCATTATTAATTTTTTATTATTATTACTATTACTACTATTATTATTATTATTATTATTACCATAATTATTATTTGTATTACTAATACTACTAATAGTAGTATTTGTTAATATTAATATTATTATTAATAGTATTATTATTACTATTACTACTATTATTATTAATATTATTATTACTTATATTATTATTGTTGTTGTTATTATTATTATTGTTATTATAACCATTATTATTATTATTATAACTATTATTATTATTAATATTACTAATACTACTAATATTATTATTAACATTATTATTATTATTATTAACATCATCATTATTATTATTATTATTATTAATATTATCATCATTATTATTATTAATAATATTAATAATATTATTATTGATATTATTACCATTATTATTATTATTAATTTTACTATTACTACCAATATTATTTATTTTCAATTATAATTACTATTTTACCTACTATTTTATATTAGTAGTTATTATTACTGTTGTTATTATTTTATTATTAATATTTTTCCCATTAATATTATTATTATTATTATTATTATTACCATTATTATTACTATTATTATTTCTGTTATTACTATTATTACTACTGTTGTTACTATTATTACTACCACTATTATTACTATTAGTGTTAGTTGTAGTACATCATCATTATCATTGAGTAAAAATGAGAAAATAGTATTGTGATATAAGGTTTAGATCATGAAGTGATCAGGAGGAGTTTTTATGATTGTTATTGTACCTGTGTGTTTAGCTGTACCTGTGTGTATGACTGTACCTGGATATAATGTGCAATGTTGTGATGTTGTTTGATCCAGGCCAGCCGTGGCGGCTCCTCGTGGCCCCTAAGAGCGTCTGGGTCCAGACCGGGGACTCTTGCTCACAGCGGAGCCATGGGGCCTCGACCAATCACACAAAGTGAACTCACACACGCTCTCGCTTTAGCCAGCACACCTGAAGCCGGCGGCACTGCTCCAGCACAGGTCTGAAACACACACACACACACACACACACACACACATATATATATATATATATATATATATATATATATATATATATATATATATATATATATATATATATATATATATATATATATATATATATATATATATATAAGCACAGATTCACACATACACAGACATATAAACACACACATGACAACAACAATCATCAGACAAGCTAAGCTATAATAACTATATTCACTCTCTCACACACACAGGTTTGTTTTTCTGAATTGTGGGGACATTACATAGGTTTCCATTGCTTTTATACTGTACAAACTGTATGCTGTATTTCTCCCCCCAACCCTTATATTCTCATAATTCACCACTTTCTTGAGATACCTTTGACATAACCATGTCATTTTAAACATTTGTGTCCTGATATAAATCACACACACACACACACACGCTCTCTCTGTGCTGTGCAGGATGGGTCTGCGGCTGGAGCTCCGGTCAGCAGTGGTCTCTTCAGCCACGCACTGCAGCAGGCACTACAGGCCTCTGGCGTGAGCTCACTTCAGGTGACTACACACACACACACACACACCATCACTAATGCAGCAAACACAACTCTTATTCACCACTTTGAAATCTGTTATACAGCAGGGGGCACTGTTATGCGTCTTAAAGCCACAGTTCACCCAAAGACAAATGATTCAGGTGAACCGTGCCTTTAAGAAATGCATGTATGTGTCCGTGTGTGTGTGTGCAGCAGGGCCGCTGGCAGCCGCAGATGCAGCAGTTGAGGGATATGGGCATCCAGGATGAAGAAGTGGCTCTGCGCGCTCTGACCGCCACTAATGGAGATCTGCAGGCCGCGCTGGAGCTCATCTTTGCAGGAGGACTCTAGTCTGACACACTTTAATTTGACTCTTTTTTTACTTTTGTCCTAAATAAAGCTTCATTTCAGAACTTGGGTTCAGTGATTTGTCCAGAATTACCTGTAGAAGTCTTGCCAACACGATGGAAGCTGCTTAAGTGTGTATGGTTTTGCTGCTGAAATGGCACAGGGATCAAATCTAGAAAGTGTACTGGGTTTAAATTGGGAGATTTCTTTATCCTTTAAGGTCTTTGTAGGAATAATTTAGTTTGTTATTGGGATAAAACAGATTTATCAATAAATGGAGGTGAAATATTGTCAGTGATAAATACAGCTTGATCACAACATCTACAAGTAAATCCATGAAGTAGATGCGGTTAAATCAGGCCACTGTGGTGATGTGAGGTAATGAGCAGCAGGGGGCGCTGTGAGACAGTTTATTAACACTGAGTCAGTGCAGAGATTCACTCATCAAGATCAATAATGCTCATTATTATAAGTGCAAAATTGATTTTAACTAACCCTGATCATGAATAATAACTAATATAATAGTAAATAATTGTGTCTGTAAATTAACAAACATCAAAGGTAGTTTAATTTATTATTCCTAATATGATTGATATTATAATGACTAGTATTGTTTTCATTTTGATTATTAATTATTTTATTGTGTCATAAACATCTATCAGCTGCCTATAGCTAGCTATTCATTTGAATATGTTTAACCTATTAGTACTAATATAATTACTACTATTATCCTTATAATCATTAATATTAGTATTATTACACATTATTAGCATCATTATTATTAGATGCCTTTTACTCTCAATTAATATTTTTTTTAAACTTTTTATCATTTGTTCATTTTCCTTCCGCTTACTCCCTTTATTAATCAGGGGTCGCCACCGTGGAATGAACCGCCGACGTATCCAGCGTATGTTGTACACAGCGGATGCCCTTTTAGCTGCAACCCAGTACTAGGAAACACCCATACACTTTTCGCTCATACACTACGGCCAGTTTAGTACATAGCCCATGTGTTTGGACTGAAACCTACGCCAACACGGGGAGAACATGCAAACTCCACACAGAAATACCATCTGACCCAGCTGGGACTCGAACCAGTGACCTGTGCCACTGTGATGCCCATCACTAATTTTTTTTACTAATAATCATTTTATTTTATGCTAAACATCTTAATTATTATAATCAGCAGCATGTAGATACCTATTACTTTTATAATATTTTGTTAAACCACTAGCATTAGTATTAGTATTAATATTATTAATATCATCATTAATATTGGTATTTCTATACTTAACATCATCACTTTTATTATTATTATTGTCTGTAACTTCCAGTTATTGTTAAACATTTCAGTTTTTTTATTATTAATAGTGTTATTATTACTGCTACTATTGTTATCATTAATATAATTACTGATATTCATGGCAGTTTTATTATAACTTCTAGATTAACAATAATACTTCTTAGTAATCTGGAGACACTCTCACACACACATAATCTGGAGACGCATACAGTCACACACTGAGCAACCTATTCCGGAAACGCGCACACACACACGCAAACTCTTATAGTCATCCACACATACCAACCTGTGTGCAGTTTTCTGGAGCTGTGTGTGTTTACATCTGCTCCACTGATGCTGTCAAGACAGACAGACAGACCTCAGATCAATAAACAGGATGAACTGAATAACAGTCTGCAGATTCACACACGCACACAGAGCAACCCATTCTGGAAACACACACAAACTGTCTCTCTAACACACTTTCTCTCTCTCTGTCACACACACACAGAGGAACCCATTCTGAAGACACACACAAACTGTCTCTAACACACACACACACACACATCTCTCGTTCATTGCATCTGAATGCGTTTCAGTTGATGAATACAAATACCAAAGGAGATCAAAAGAAACATTACATAACACACATACATTGTATCCTCGGGAGAGTTGCTATGGAGACCGTTTCTCACAGCATCACACCTGACACAAGAGTCTTCACCATGACGTGAGCATATGCTGAAATAAACACTTCACACTATTAAAGAGCAAAGCACTCTGGGAGATCAGTTTGTGTTGGTCATCACAGCGCTCCTTTCCTCCGTCTGACGATGATTTGATAGGCTGGATAATTAACTAACACTGAACAGTTGAATCAAACACGGCATACGCAGAATCTATAATCATAAATCAGGCGAAATGTTCTGTTTGTGTTTTTTAAACATAGCAACTGCACAATCACCACAACAGATCAATTACTGTAGTTGTTACCATAGCAACTGTAGAATCACCACAACTGATAAATTACTGTAGTTGTCATGTTACCATAGCAACTGCAGAATCACCACAACAGATCAATTACTGTAGTTGTTCCCATAGCAACTGTAGAATCACCACAACTGATAAATTACTGTAGTTGTCATGTTACCATAGCAACTGCAGAATCACCACAACAGATCAATTACTGTAGTTGTCATGTTACCATAGCAACTGTAGAATCCTCACAACAGATCAATTACTATAACTGTTGTGTTACCATAGCAACTGTAGAATCACCACAACAAATCAATTACTGTAGACTGGTTACCATAGCAACTGTAGAATCACCACAACAAATCAATTACTGTAGTCTGGTTACCAAAGCAACTGTAGAATCACCACAACAGATTAATTGGAGAACTGAACTAGACTATGGTTATAAAGCTCTACAGTGTTTACTGTATATTGCTGTATTCTTTATCACACTGGTAATAAGTATCTCTTTTTTTCCTCATAGTGACTGTTTTCCACCCAGACAGGCTCAACTAGAAAGGTGAGCAGAACTTCCTGTGCAGCGGATTGTTTTTAATAATCCGTTAATGGATGAATTGGCTTTCACAATACTGCTCTGTGTTTTGATATTTCGCAATGTTTGGTGATGAACGTTTCCTCAGCTCATGTCATTCAGGTCTCGCACAAACTCTATTGTCATTTTCACACTTGAGTTACTGTGATAATGTCCAGCTCAAAGAAGAAGAAGCGTCTCTATTTACATTCAGAGACAGTGACAAAAACACCTTCAGTAAAAGACCAGCGGTCCACATAAAACACACTCGGTGAATGTGTGTGTACTAGCATTAATCCTGAAGACAAGACATAAACAACACAGAGAAAACATAATAAAGCACCAAACAAACCTGACAGGAAGGAATAAAATTATATAAAGAAAACGAAATAAATAAAATAAAAATTCAATGAATAAATTCAATAAAATGAATTAAAATAAATAAATAATAAAATAAAAATATAAATAAATAAAAATTACATTTAAAAATTACAATTAAAAAAATTTAAATAAAAGAAAATTATATAAAATAAAAAATTAAATTAAATAATAAAATTAAATCAAATGTTTTAATAAATTTAATAAAAATAAAATAATAAAATAAAAACAAAAACACGATAAAATACAATAAACAAATAAATAAATAAACAAATAAATAAAATACTAATTTCAAGAACATCTGTAACTGAATGTTGATGGTTAGAAACATACAAGCTAGGAAAATGACCAATTCAGATGCCGTACAAACCATTTAATCCTGTAGAACATCAGGAGAACAAGTGCTGTCTTAAAGAAAATGATATAAAATAAAATGCATACAAAACTAAAAAGGAGAAGAGGAAGAAGATGAATGAAATAAGTAAAACTGTTAATAAACAGCAGACCTGGTTAAGTTAGACCCATAAACTTTATTAGTCATAATCTCAAATCCTCCACATCCCCAACAATACATTCAGTATTTACATCTGGCGAGAGCTACTGTACAGATGCTGATACACACACACACACACACACACACACACACACACACACACACACACCACAAGAACAACATGAAGATAAAGAGTGTCTGGATGACAGAAGAAAGAGGACTAGCACAGGTCACAGCAGAGGTCAAGGAGCATCTGTCATCTGATTGGCTGAACTGCTCTAAATGGTTTCCATGGCAAACAGCCTCCAATC